TCATTATCTCCATGTAGTAAATAATTGGAGCCCTCTTGCATTATTTATAGATTTGGTCTTATTTCTAAGCACAATTAGGTCTCTTGGTAACTAGCTCCCATTCACATTAAGCTTTTTTTTCCTTTCTCATTCCTACATGATTTATTTTAACTCTTGCCGTTGCTTCATAAAACTATGGAAAAATTGTTCATATAATCACCCAACAGACTAAACACAGTCCGTCTCTAATACCACTCAGACACTACTGCAGTGGCATCGGCCAGGTTCATGGTGCTCAATTTAGTAAATGAGATCTCAGAGCTCCTTGAATGCTTTGTAATGCGTAATCCAACAGCTTTTGCTGCACTAAGACATTGATCCTATTCCATTTCCTGTAACAAACTTCTTCACACACATTTTAGATCTAACAATTTATTTCACTCTGATTATTCAGACAAAATGACAGCATGATCCTACATGCTGAAGAGGAATCCCTTGACCAACAGATCTCCCCCTTTTTGTCCAACCTGAATTATAGGGGAGTTTTGTTCCTCTGTGAGGAAATAAAGATTAGCAGCTATTTTCTGAATTCCATTAGATTTACTTTGCAGTGTATCCGTAGCCTTCCATGTACATTTTCCTATATTCATAAGACAGGCAACCGTCTCCTTTTAGCTCTGTCAGTGTTATCTATTCTCCTTCATCCTGTGATCCTTTATAAACTTCCTGCTTAGCACCTCGCCCTAACCTCACCTGACATAAAAACGTTCCAGAACCGACTCCACCTTCTGTGCTTACTCATTTTAATTTGAATTCATGGGAAGTTTTAAAAATAACATGAGTAGGAATAAATATACACGAGAATAAAATAAATAGAATAAATATATACAAGTAATGTAGTCATTTTTTAGCTCTGGCAGTTCTTAACATGTTGCCATTCTTGGTTACTGACCATAACCTACACACTTAAAAAGAATTTGGGTGGAGTATTTTAGAGCAATTCCCATTTAAGATGCACATTACACACCAATACATTTTTTTCCTCCCATGCAGCAATAGTATTATTGTAACACCAAACAAAATTAATAATAATTCTTTTATATTGTCTAACATTCAGGCCATGTTTAATTTTCCTCCATTGTCTAAATAAGGTCTAACTACAGTTTGTTCAAACTAGGGTCCTTAAAGGTCTCCAAATTGCATTTTATCAGTGTACTTTTTCAATCACTTTTGATCTAATAACATTTGAGCTGTTATACCTGCTGAAAAAAAACTGGCTTTCTTGTTCATCTTTATGATGTTTCATCGATATTGATAGGCTACCCTTGCCTAACTTGATTCCTATGTAACCCACAAGCTAGTTCCATTGATACCTCCCATGCATTTGGCTTCCTGGGAGCAGCTTGTCATATAACACCTAAATAAAAATTGCCAGACCTTGTATACATAAAAGTATAGATGAAATACATGTCCCACCTGCAAATACAGATAGAATTTTCTGAGTATATGAACCCTCAACTGTGCTAGGAAACCATGTTTACTAAGATCTAGCTTTTCTACAGTTAAAACCACCCTGTTTGCAACATCTTAAAATTATTTTTAAGATTTACAAAATTGAGAGAGCAGATGGCTTCCATTCCAAACATTGTGTGTTCCTCAGCCAACAGCAGGAAGTTCATTGCAGATTGCATTTCTGGGTTTGAATTATTATGTTCCCTCTAAGTTAGAATACAAACAAGTTGAGATGTATGATAAATTTTCAATATATTATACAAATGATGCTGTTGTTACTTGTTTGGATAACATTGTGTAAGTAATTCATTCCGAAAGCACATTGTCAAAAATCTCAGATAAGGAAATTCAGTACTGAGTGGGTTGCTGAGAACAGATATGGGAGTTTTACATATTTCTTTTCTCCTCAACTAGCTAAAGTGCTTCTGATTCTACGTAGTACAGGGTATAGAGAGTGTGGCTTTTGATTTATGTGAGTAGTATCAATCCATAAAAGTAAGTTAATTTGTTTCTGAAATTGTATTGGTACCAGTGATAGTGTTATTTCATTATTTTTCCATATGATGATAGTTGGCACAATTCTGAATTGAAATTTGTGAGAGATACCCTTAATGTAGAATCTAAGGCAGTTCCACTTAATATTTCCAAGGATTTATGCTCGAGTCTGTGTTTCAATGAGCTAAATCACATCAGTAGATAAAAGTTTCATTTCAAAGAACCTAAGTCCAGGATTATAATTTTTTAATTCTAAGTTATGAACAGTTCAGATTTCTCCACATTTTAGAATTCTAATTGTCAAATCTCTTACTTTCCAAATTAATCATTCTCGGAGGCTTCACATATCCTGCCTAGTAAAATGTCCAATATCTCCTTCTTTTTCAGTCCTTCTTTTTGAGCATGCATGGGGCAGCTTTTCCCCAAACCATGGGAACTTCTGAAGTTTAAAATGTTCAATTCTGCTTCCAAATGACAGAAACAACTGCAAAAATCACATCAGTTTATTATTAAACTGAATCACAAGGATCCCTTCCACAACATACTACAAATGGCATCCCTTAAAAAGGCACCCCTTTTTGAGCCGGTCCCTGTGTAATCCCATGATGCTGTCCCTTTGAACTGCAAGTTAGAGCTTCCTGTAGTGTATGTGTGTTTCTCAAAGAGTGGCATGGTACAAGAGTGACCAGATACCAAACAATACTTTACATCCTCACCTCAAACCTCAGCCAGAATTCCAGGTGTTCCTGATGCAGATGAAAATACATTACCTATAAGAGGAGTAGTTATAAAGCAGCCTGCACATTTGTATTACTGGAGAGCTTTTAAAAGATACTAGTATCGAAGATCCTGTCATCAATCAGTGAAATCAGAATATTTGACTTAGCAAACTTTAGCGTGGGTATTTTTCATTTCTTTTTTTTAGGTGGGGGTGGATTATGGGAATTGAACTCAGGACCTTGTGCTTGCCAGGCAAGCACTTGTGCCACTGAGCTATATCCCTGGCTCTCAGCATAGGCATTTTTCAAAACCTAGCCAGCTGATTATAATCTACAGCCCTACAGTATAGCCACTCAGAATCTTATGAGAAACAGTAAGACATCTGACAGCTATCTTCTCAAGCAGTGAGATTTTTTTTGTTGTATTTGTGCTTTTTCTTGTCACATACCCTACATAAAAGTCACTTAGTAATGTCCACCCTAGCAAGTTTTATTGTCTTTAAAATCCAAACACTCTTATTTTTTCATATAAATTAGCCCTACCACGTTTGGGTATTCAAATAAAGTGATATCAAATAAAAATAGGAGATTATTCATCTGCATAGTTAAAGAGGGGTCTTCTGTATTCTTCTTTCAGCATTTGGATCAAGTTGTATTCACCTACGTGGAATATCCTCCCTTCCTAAAAAATACCAGTTAGATGCTTTTACACTCCACATTACACAGCTTTGCACTGCTAGTTGTTAGGTTTTAATTCACATGTGCAGAGAGCATTGTCTGACCTGGGGACCTCTGTGCCCCAGCTGCAATTTAATGTCAAAGTGACAGGTTCTTTCCCTTAATTTCTTAATGAGGAAGTACTGAGAAAGGCGGGGATCAGAGAAAGTTTCAGCCAATGCCATAAACCAGAAAAACCCATGTAAATCAGTCAGAATGAGGCTATTTAAGGAGACCCAGTGAAATATAAGACCAAGTGTAAATGTATCATCTGCTTCTTCAATAAATGAATGAACGATTTTTAATAACCAGTGAGGGAAATGGCAAAGGGAAAAGGGGAATGTAATCCTATTTGCTCTTTGTCTTTAAGACTTGCTACCTTCAGATGATATTATATCTACTTTCTGTAAATGCTGAAATTATTTCCTGTTTTAAGTAATTCACTAGAACAATACCTTGTAAGAAATAATATGTGAATTAAAATCATTTGATCATTTTGAGTGTCTATATGTAATTGTGGAAATGCTACTGATATGCTAAAGGGTTCAATGTTCCCATTTTTATTTTCAAGTTCAGTTTGATGCTTGTGCATGTGAAGAAGTTGTGAAAAGAGCGGATGGAGATTTTTGACAGTGCCTCCTCTATTAATCACTTCCATCCTATCCCAGTAAACCTATGATATAGAAAATGAAAAAAAAAATGCTTTGTGTGCCACTTTAGTCAGCTTTCCCTTTTCCAGACACAATAGCCAACACTCACAGTGTAAAGAAGCAAGGTTTAATTTAGCTGAGGGTTGGGAGGGATTTGGTCCATCATCGACTGACTCCAAGGCAGGAGTGTCATGATAGAAGCGTCCGGCAGGGCAGAACTGCATACTTCATGGCCACTTGGGAGCAGAGCAGAGAGCCATGCCAGAGATGATCAGGGGAGAAACATACATAATACACAAGGCTACATTCAGTGACCCAGCAAGACACACCCAGGAGCCCGCTCTTCAAATCTGCTCAGTGCTTCCAATACAATGAAGTTGACACACCAGGATTAGCACTCACATAGGCCAATACAGTTTCTAGACAAATTGCGTAGACGTCTCTTTCTACGTCTACGTACCAATCCGTTTGTACTACTGAGACCCTTCCACACAGAAAGTCTGGATTGCCCAGGATTCTAAAACAACACTAGAGGTACCTGGTGTCTCCCAGCACTTTTCTGAGTAGCCTTTGTTGTGCATGAACTATTAACAGAATCCATGTTTGACTGGCTTCCTGAAAAAATTCATTTCCAAATGTAACCCCTATCTGACATGAGTGGAACGCTTTAATAACACCTAGTGAAAACTGCTAAATGCTGGGTGTACGCATGTAGCAGTGGGGTGCTTCTCTGTGCCACAAATCCAGTGAGGGTTATAGTCTTTGTGATTTTTAAAAACCTGCAAAATCAATCCAGCGTCAACTGTGATTATGAAAAACACGCCTACCAGATTCTGACTGTAAATAGGGAATTTAGAAGAGAATTCCTCTCTCCTAGTAAATAGTAGTTTCTAAATTACAGAGTAACTAGAATTCTGCTTCTTTTTAGCTATTACTTGTCGAAAGCAAGATGGCGGACAGGCTGGCATCCAGGAATGCCTCAAGTATGCCGGCCCCGTGCCAGCGCTCACCCAGGCTTGCCAGGTTCCCTGCCAAGATGACTGTCAATTTACCAGCTGGTCCAAATTTTCTTCATGCAACGGAGATTGTGGTGCAGTTAGGACCAGAAAGCGCACTATTGTTGGTAAGAATAATTGGGATGCCAAAGCGAACTATTGTCAGGACTGAAAAACACCACAAAAGTCAGATCATGAGAGTTCTGACAGTGTATTTCATAACTGCCTTACAACTGCTGTATTTACACTGACTATGTCAATGGATGTGGATGTGCATTTTAACGGAGGTTGGCAGTGATTGAAGCATGATTTCACTTTAGTACAGTAGAAAGGAAAAGTAGCCTGAGTCCCCATGCAAACTGGCTATGTAATACATGACAGGTTTATTTCTTTATTTCCGTATGTACTTTTAGTGAATTCGCAGGAACTGGGGGTTCTTACAGCAAAGAGAAAAGGTTACCCTTCAGTTTTCTAAACTGTTCTCACTGTCATGGACTCACGTTATTCTTCATCTTCTTGAATATAATATTAGTTCAGTATCTGAAAACTGCAACTAAGAAAGAAGTCACAGAGACAAAAGCAGTGACATAACATGCAAAGCAGGAGCCATCATACTGAACTAAAGCTGGATGCATTCTAAAACCCTGTCAGTGACAATTAAAACCTGAAAATACTGGGGCCAATAGACTATTCAGACTTCAAAGTTATGAAATGAGCTGCCTGCAAAATGGAAGCTTTTGAAGGCTATATAAGGCAGCTTAGGAAAATCTGAGGTAAATATGTGTAATTAATTTATTATGTTTTATATTTTATGTGGTAGAAATAAAATAATCCTTTTCCAAGTACATATATAACCTGAAAATACTGGGGCCAGTAGACTATTCAAAAAAACCAAGAGGTTTTTTTTTTTAAAGAAATTTATTTAGTTTCTGGTATTTTCAAGTATTTTATTTTGATAATAAACATCTTCATTGTATGTATTACTGATATTTCCTACGTTAATCACCAAGTATGTTAAAATGACTACTCTTGAGGAATTCTGAAAGATACAAATCATAATCAGCAATGTAATTCTAAAAATGTCATTTTCCAAATCTTAATCCTTCGGTACGCAAGTATACTACTATTTGAACTAGTAAGAATTCTATGCAGTACAATGAAGTCACCCCCCCCATCTCAGTTCTGTGCATGTTATAAAAGAGAGGTTTACACAGTTACTTCATCTTCCCTGGTCAGCGGAAACACTTGATTATTTCAGAGGATTTTAAACATTTTAAAAAGTAAAAATGTCAACACACCAGCCAATTCCTCATGCAAAATGAACTACTTTTAAACGGGAAAAATTTCACCATGTAAAATATCAAATACCCTCAGCAGTCTGGAGACTGAGATAGAAGAATTGTGAATTCAGCCTCAACTTGGGCAAATTAAGGAATTAGTAAGACCCAGTTGCACAATAAAAAAAAAAATAAATAACAAAACGCTGGGAATGTAGCTCAATGTGAAGGTACTAGGTGCAATCTCCAGTGCAGGGGGGAATGTGGAAATGCCCCAAATCAGCAAAAATCTCTCTAGAAAACGCTTTGACATACAAAAATAACATTTATTTATAGACTACCATTGCATATAATTAAAAACAGACAAAATGCTTGAAGTTGCTTTTTTTTTTTTTAGTTTAAAGTGCCTGGTATTTCTTTTCTACAGGAAAAAGTAAAAAGAAGGAAAAGTGCAAAAATTCCCATTTGTACCCCCTGATTGAGACTCGGTACTGCCCCTGTGACAAATACAACGCGCAGCCTGTGGGCAACTGGTCGGACTGCATCCTCCCAGAGGGGAAGGCGGAAGCCGTGCTGGGAGGGAAAGTGCAAGGAGACGTGAAGGAGTGCGGACAAGGGTACCGTTATCAAGCCATGGCGTGCTACGATCAGAACGGCAGGCTCGTGGAAACGTCCAGATGTAACAGCCACGGTGAGCCAACCTTTCCTCAGTGCTTTACATCTGCTGTCTCTGAGAGCAGAGATAGAATGCACCTGTGTCGTGGTGAAGGGGAAATAGTTTACACAAGCGTGATCTAGCTGAACACTTCAAGCACCACATGCGCTGCCATTTACAGGGACTGGGACATTCGTTGGTGTTGTCAGATTGTCCAGAACTGACAACTACAGTCCAAAAGTGGCGATGGGCGGGCTTCTTGGGCCAGCACGTGCCAGGAACTTCCCATGGGGATTATCAAGGGCCTGCTCATTCAATACACCCAACAATCTCCGACTGATTTGTATACAGAAAAGGCGAGAAGAAGAGATAAGATTTTAATTCAATCTGAGAATGAAGTTTAATGTAGCCAGCTGCGGTGGCCCATGCTTATAATTCCAGCTACTTGGAAGATTGAGGAGGATTGCAAGTTTGAGGCCAGCTGGGGCAACTTAGTGATTTGCCAAGATTCTATCTCAAAAACTTTAGAAAAAAATTAAAGGGCTTGGTATACAGCTCAGTGTGAAGACCACAGATTCAATCCCCCGTACCAGAGAAAATGATTTTTTAAAAAGTTTTAAAGTGGACAGGCTTTTAAGGACCAAACTTTGCAATGTACCCAAAACATCATTAAGTGGTAGAGAAGAAAGGTAGAAAGTGGTAGTTGGTGAAGACCCAAGGATCTATTCATGATGTGTTAAGATCCAAAAAGACGAAACAAATCCACAGAAAAATGTGCGTACTCTTAAAAAATACTCATTTTCTTATCTAAACCAAAAAAGAAAATTAATATGTGGATGAAAATCTTCCACCTCTTTGATACAGGTGACCAAGAAAGGATGAGTTAAATTGTTAGGAGCCAGGTACGCAGCTGGTACCCCCAACCTTGCTGAAGTAACTTCTGCTATTGGAATAGGATTACTCTAGCTTTATTATACAGTTCAGAAAACCATAGGAACACTTCACATTTATAAACTATTAAGATATCATGGTGACACATTTATTGCAATCTCTTAAACCCCTCCCTACAAAGTTGTTTCTGAAACAACTTGTCCTTTTTCTTCTTAACCTTACCTTACAGTTCCTATTTTATGTAGGGGTATAAATCCCAAAGACTCCACAATGTGTAATCTGTAGATCTGCTATCCTGCTAGCTGATTTGGCTGGGAGAAGGTAATTGTCATAGATTGCAGCATGTGTAGGATACAGTGACAAAGTTCTAACACTCCACAAGTACAGTACCATTAGAATGGATGGAACATACTTAAGGAAGGTGGTAATCGCCTAAGAAATCAGTCAAGAGAGATTGAATTTCTTCAGACATTAGTTGGAGTAAATGTATTAGTAAACACTAGAATATCCCACTGGATAGTCTATAATAGATCAAGCTAATCAGAAACAAAATTGAAAGGAATTGTTCCTTATTGTGGCGGGTACTTGTATTTGAAGAAGAATGTGTTTAATTAAACCAGGCAGAAGAGGCAATGGAGTCTTGTAAACAAACTGAAATGGAGTCCTAATTTCTCCAAAAGGCCTTCTGAGTTGGTAGGATTTATTTAATGTCTAGTTCATTTCAGAATTAAAATTTCTCATTTGGAAGCATGGAAACAGGTAGTAGAGCTTTGGCGGTTACGGCTGGGATCCTTTTTTCCTTTCAAATGGAAAAGAGAGGCAAAGGGTGAGGAGCTGACTTTTCCTGAGGTACCTGGCCACAGATTTAAAGAGCAGGCCAAGGAAGTAGAGGGTGTCTGAGGACGCAGGGGTACAAAAAGAAGGCAACTACCTAGGGTCTCATTAAAGAGAGTGTGGATTCCAGCACCGTCCTAACACAGGCTCCCAGAGAGAGTGCCCTGAGGATGAGAATTGGAAATTTTCCTGCAGCTACCCTTCATGTCAGATGTGAAGGAAAGACATCTGCCATTGTCATTTAGTTCTTTGTGTTGGTCTTCCTGACACTTTAACTCATCTAGCTACTTAATAATGTGGTTTTCAAACTGGGCTCCATGGAGCCCCTTGGGCGAGCTGTCAGACAAGGTCTCCAATATGCCTGACCCACATATTCAGCTTCGCTTTTCAGCTTTTTTTTTTTTTTTTGGATGAAAGTAATTGCGCTGCTTAAAATAAATGCAGCAACAATTCATTATTGCAATAATAAACAATTTAAAATCAATTTGTATTTTGTCTTGACAGTGTTTTTCACTATTTCACTCCTCATCCTGTTAGCCTCTGAGCACGCAAGGCTTCTGATGTCAGGGAGATGGGATAAAACTCCTTTTCAGCAAAATAATTTCAAAGTGATAATCTTGCTGGTGTTTGTAGAAGATTATTTTTCTTTTACAAAACCATAGAGTTGTTTGTCCTTTATGTCATGGTACAAGGTCTCACAATTTAGGAAGATACAGAAAGACATATGGGAACCCCAATACAGATTCCTAGTATATTTGTAACACCGTGAAAATCCAAGAGTTTTAAAGTTCTGCATTGCATTAGCTGATTTATCTTTATTCCTAAAATATCTGTTCCTTCTTCAAAATGACCTTAAAATGATCAAGTAGGTAAACAGGGCTTAAGAGTAGGGGTACTTTTTGTATAAATGTGTGGAAGGGGCCCTTATATTAGAGATAAGCTATACCCATGGTTTCAAAAATAAACCTGAAATCATGCTAAGAAGTTTATGTGCATTTTAAATACCATTCTTCAAAGAAAATCTTTAATTTTACTTTCTCTCAGTATTTATCCTATTTCTGCATAGTTACCAATATATCCCTTACAGGAAATTTTACTCTGATTTTCAAAAAGAAAAATTGTCTCTCCTTCGGTCATTTAAACCATTTTTAAAAACTCAAGAAGTATATCCACAGAACACTTCCCCCTTCTGTTATTGAAATTAATTTCTTGCTAGCTTACCCATAGGTTTGACTTTTAAGTCTTTAAAGTGTGCTGTAGTATACAAAGATACTTAAGACTTAGGTTTTGTTATTGTTGTTCATTTGTTGTTTTGTGTTTTGTTTTGGTTGGTTGATTAGTTCTACATTTTCTTCTACATATTAAGATGAACGTGAAAGATAATTTACTTTTTTTAAAAAATTAAAATTCTGTATGGTTTAAAATATGAATCCAGGGCCGTGGATGTAGCTCAGCACCACAGCACCTGCCCAGCAAGCGTGAGGTCTTGAGTTCGATTTCCCATACCAAAAATAAATAAATAAATAAGAATGAAATATGAATCCAATTTTAAAGTATTCCAATTAAAACCTCTATGGATGTTTTATTTCTCCCTGGCACAGTGAGATGCTGTAAGAAAATATCAATAATTACAAGAATGCCATCTCTGAGTCCTTCTACAGATTCACAGTTTGTATTAGCGTAAATAAACAAACAAGCAAGACTATAATAAAGAAACCTGTTCACCTAGTTGAATGCAGTAGTTTTCCAAGTTATCACAAAACACCTTTTTGTTAAAGTTTATTATGAAAATCCAACACGCTAGTATTTAAGTATCATACTATGGAAATAGTTCCATGACAACATTAGATTTTCATTGAGTGAAAGAACAGTGCCCTGCATTGATCATGTTAAAAATAAATAATTCTTACAAGCTTCAAATTTAATTTACTTCCCATTACTTTATCTTAACAATCTGAACACTTTGTCAGATACCTTTTTACTGCTGACAAAGCCTTATAGTGAAAGCAAATTTTTTAGACCCTGCCTTTGATTTCTCATTCCTTGTTAGTTAGAATTGTAAATGTTAAATTTGGGGAGAAAGTCAATAAATACCTTTATCTATGTAATTATTTTTGTCATTTTGTTTGGATAAGTAGACTATAGATACAGTTTCTTATACAGATAAGTTAATTCATATATATGAGAGTGTGTGTGTGTGTGTGTGTGTGCCTGGAAGCTCAGTACAATTCCAGTACACCTAATTAGGCCAACTCAGCATTTACAAGACTGCTGTTCCTTCAGATGCCAGCTATACGTTCAGGGATCCCCAAACCAACCTTACCTCTGCACTGACAACAAATTTGCATATTCCTATTACTGCCTCATGTAGTAATTAATTGGAATAATTAATAATTCATTGGAATGACTCATAGAAAGACACTATACATTTTCATAGCCATTTTGTGATAGTAAAAAGATACAAATTAGAACCAGCCCAAACAACAGGTGAGCTTCCGGGTTCTCTCCAAAGAGTCAGGAGGCCCCTCCCTCCTGTCACACAGATGTATACCACCAAACAGCTCACCTGAGCTTTGATAGCCACTATTAATAAAAATAGTAGGGTTTCACTCATAAGTACAACTGATCGAATTCCTGACTATGTAGTTGAATTCACTTTTTCCCTCACTGGTGGTCAGACAGATACCTGTGTCTTTGTGCTCCCGTTCTTTCATCACTTGATTGCTCTTTCAGGCGTGACTGGCCCCCTCCTGGGATCTCTTTACCTTAAATTCACTTAAGGTGTCATCCACTGTGAATAACAAAATGTCCCTATCTCAGAAAATTTCAGGGCTTACAATCTGTAAACCAAGGACCAGGAACAAAGATCAGTCAAATTTTTTATACAAAAAGCTTTAGCATTACTCTAAGAAATGGCCTTGATTTTAAAAATATATATATATACACTTGACCTTAGCCAAAGGACTGTGATGAGCCCACGCATAGATACACCTAATGAATCTGAATGTACCTTGGTTACTGGTTAGGCTCCCAAAATTGAAATAACAACAAGAACAAAACTATATAACCGTTCATACCAATATTGAAATTTTCTGAAAAAAATGAATATGTACTTAGCAGATATCCATCTGTTTACAAACAAGCAAAATTAAAGTTAAAATAGCATTTTTTATAGTTATGTAAATTTACCTGAGCACTTCACTATGATAGTTAATAGCCCAATATTGATATGTAACTTTTCATGAATCTACGAGTTTTAGTAAAACACTAAATACTGGAGTTTGCATAGATATGCTAGTTTGGATTCCTCC